TATATATATATGTGTGTGTGTGTGTGTGTGTGTGCGCGCGCGCGCCCGCGCGAAAGACCTGGCTCATTGATGCGGCCTCTGGCACAAGTCCCTCGGGTCGGGAGTTCGAATCCTATAGCGCAAGCTCTTCGAATCGGAATCAAGTACAACGGATTTTCAACCCATATGGGGGAATCGCTATTTGGTGCCCACTGGACCAAATATCGATTTCACTTTTTAAATATGTGTGTGTGCGCGTGTGTGTGTGTGTGTGTGAAGCACTGAGTGTTTGGAGACTTTTGCGTAAGTTATAATTTTGGTTTCTGTGTATACATGTACTTTTTTGGGACATTGATGTGTGTTGTACATTAGGTGCTTAAGGTTCCAATTTGGACCCTCTCATCCAACCTATATGTTTTCTTATTCATTGTACGATGGTCCATACAGAAACACCAACTCTCATTCTTCTTCACCAGCAAGCCTGGGCTAAAGAAGGGGTTCATAGTAGACTGTATGATCCCGACCTCCAACCTCTCTCGAATCAATCTCTTGATCTCATCCTTCTGCACCTGGGTGTAGCAATATGGGTGCACACTGATGGGAGAAATCCTCACTCTGACTGTTATTGCATGCTCCTGTTCCCTCTTGGGTGGTAATCCGCATGAAAGCTGAAGAACTTCTAAATATTATTGTGAGTTGTTGGATCGATAGAATCTCTGCTAACTTCATATCATAGCCCTTCCATGTTATGCAACTTCGTCAAGAATTCCAATCCTGCATTCTAAATTACCCTACCCATGGTCTTCAGTGTCACCAAGGTCTTACACAAACTAAGTTCAATGAAAAACATCAACGTATTGTTTCCCCCCTAAATCTCCATTTTCAAGAGCTTACAATTTATCTTAGTCTCCATTAAAAACTGCAACCATTTCATACCTAATATTAAGTCGGTGCTCCCTAAATCCAAATAAGGAAAATCCTCCATCAATTGAATAACTTGAATGTCAAAATCAGCCTTTTACAAACCCCCCC